ACCGAGGAATCGTTTTCCGCCGGTGGGTGGGGCGCCGCCCTCGCCCACCACTTCTCTCGAACGGTATACATACTCCACCGAATAATATCCAAATTTTATCTGCGGATTCAACGAATTTGATTCGGGTTTCTATAATCTGATTCGAGGTATAAAACTTTGTTAGGCTGATGTAGTTTTAAGGGGGTTTAGTGGGTACAACACGAGATGGGCGATGAAGGTGTTGGATAAGGTGTTTCCGGCGGAGATGAACGTCGGTAACGGCCGCGCACCGCTGGCTGTGACGGTGTTCTTTGGAGCTAACGATGCTTGTCTTCCCGATAGATGCTCTGCGTTTCAACACGTGCCTATTGATGAATACAGCCAAAATCTTCACGCCATTGTCGCCTATCTCAAGGTCCTCTGTATACTAAATCTTTCACATTTTATTTTGTTGATGTTTAAAAACAAATCAGAAATGATTAGTGTGGTATATCTAATATGTATAAGTGTTTGGATTTGTTTTTCGAAATTGATATATGATCAATCATTGTTGGGGCAAACTAATTCTGATTATATAGTGTTATTAAGGATCGAAGATTAAATTTGAAATAAATTAACTTTTTATTATAGATTTATGTGTTTATGCTTGCAATATACAGCTTCTTTATTGATAAAGTAACATAGAAAGTTTATGTTTTATGTGAATTTTCATTCTGAAATCTGTTGAATAATCAAATAAATTGCTAATATTGATTGATTGCTTCCAAATCTTACTTATTTTTTTTTTATCTTATTATCTTTTGGGTTGATTGTAGAATCGATGGCCTTCAACTCACGTGATCCTCATCACTCCTCCTCCAATAGATGAAGTTGCACGTCTTCTGTAAAGCTCTATTTATAAGAATCTTGTCTTTTATTACAATTTACAAAGTGTACTTTCACTAATTTAGCGATTTAAAAACGTTTTTAGAAAAAGAAAACTTACTTTACCATTTTATTAATATAGCCATGAAACTTTTTTTTTATCGATTTAGCTAGCAAAAACTATTTTTTATATTAATCATAAAAAAGAATAGTCCAATGGCTAGATCAATAAAATGGTGAAAGTATGTTTTGCTTTTCTGTATTTTGCACTTTCTTTTAAAATTGGATAATTTTGAAAGTTGTTTTATTAGAAGTAAAAAAATTATAATGGTTTAATCACTACAGAATAACGTTAAGTGCTAAATTGATAAAATGGTTAAAGTACAAGTGTTATTTATTTATTTATTTATTTTTCCTTTATGCAATGCATTTTTTGTCGAACCTAATATGTTTCAAATCAATATTGAATTTTGCTACATTTTTAAAGCAAACATTTCTTGTTTATTATGTTTGTTATTAAGTTCATATTCACTTGAAAACTTTGTCCCTAATCATAAAACACATTAACCCCTTTAATGCCATAAAAATTGCATATTTCGGACATGCTTAAATGATCAAAATATTAATTACAACAAAGTAAGAGAATCTTTTGTGAACTTCAATTATTGTTATCAACTTTTTCAACGACCAAATATGTAAAATATTAATTTAAAAAGTCGTTGCAATTTTATGGGACATAGGAAGGTGACGTTTCTTCTTATGCTTATATGTTAATGGGGACAAGACTTAATAAAGTAAGCTATAACTGTTTTTTATTGTTTATTTTTTTTTTGAAGGTTTTCCATTTATTTATTTTGTGAGATATTATTTTAAATATGTATCGATTGATTATTATGTTTATGATGAATAAAAAGTAATTTGGAAAGAATATGCAGACACAGATATGGTGAAATTCACTCAGATCTACCCGAAAGGACAAATGAAGCTGCCCGAAATTATGCCAAAGCTTGTGTGACCGTTGCCCGAGAATGTGGGGCCCCAGTTGTGGATCTTTGGTCCCGAATGCACCAGTTTCCTGATTGGGGCAAAGCTTATTTGAGGTACTAAGCACACATACACACACACAAACACACACTTATGTGTTTATAAAGACTAAAAGGGAAATTGGAAGGGGTACATGTGTAATAAATAGAGCAATGTATTTCCATTTATTTGTTTATTATAGTATCTTACTTCCATTTCTTTGTAGAGTAAATTATGTTTTTGGTCCCTGAGTATAGCTGATTTTTGCAATTCTAGTCCAAAAATAGTTTTCTCGTGTAATTTTGGTCCTTATTTGAGGTTCTTGTAATGTTTTTGGTCACAGTTTCAAGTAAAATAGCTATTTTTGGTCCTTGAGTTATAGCTAATTTTTTCAATTTTAGTCCAAAAAAAGTTTTTTCTCACAATTTTGGTCCTTATGTGAGGTTCTTGTTAAGATTTTGGTCACCGTTTCAAGTAAAATAGCTATTTTTGGTCCTTAAGTATAATTAAATTTTGCAATTCTAGTCCAAAAATAGTTTTCTCATGCAATTTTGGTCCTTGTGTGAGGGGCTAGTTAAATTTTTGGTTTCATTTTAAGTAAATAACTATTTTTGGTCCTTGATTATAGCTGATTCTTGCAATTTTAGTCAAAAAAAAGTTTTTTCTCGCAATTTTGGTCCTATTTGATGTTCTTGTTAAGTTTCAAGTAAAATAACTATTTTTGGTCCTTAAGTATACCTGATTTTTGTAATTTTTTATACCAAAAGTAGTCATTTTATTTGGAATGGGGACCCAAAATGTAACAAAAGGTCAAATAAGGATCAAAATTGCAAAAAAAAGCTTTTGGGAACCAAAATTGAAAAAATCAGCTATACTTGGGACCAAGAATGTAATTTACTCTTCTTTATGTTACACCATTATACTTTTGGTTTTTTCTTATTAAGACACTGTGCTTTGAAAAATCTACCCAATTATATCATATATACTTTCAAAATTTTTTTTTATTACGACTATGTTCTTTGAAATACCTACACAATCATTATACTAATTTAGGGTTAATTTTTATATTACAACTATAATTTGGTATTATTTTTTAAAGTACAATGTTGTATTAGGAAGAAATGAATGCATGATACTATAGTAAACAAATCAATTAAAGTATGTTGATATTTCTTGCATTTAACCATAAAAAAACTACAATTTTTTTTATTGTAGTGGTCCGTGAAAACAAAATGTTATCATAGTGAAAATTGTTTTGTATTTGAATGATATTATTATAATTGGGTAAAATTTCAAAGTTCAATGATGTAACAAGATGAAATGAAATTAAAAATGCTATAATTACAATGTCATTTAAATACAAAGCAATTTTCACTCTCCTATAATTAAGTAGACTTTTGTAAAATGACAATGTCCTAAAAAGAAATTGGAAGTAGAATGTTACAACCGGGTGGATTTTTCTAAGTATAATATCTTAATAAGACCAAAATCAAAGGTGCAATGTTGTTAATAGAAAGAAATGAAATTAAAATGCTATAAATGAAAGTATGTTTTTGTTTTTAAAATAAAATAAAATTCTAATGAAAGTATGTTGCTGTTTCTTATATATAGGGATGGTTTGCATCTTACTTTGGGTGGAAACAAGATTGTTTTTGAGGAAGTGATTGGAAAGCTGAAGGAGGTTGGGTTGAGTCTTGAAACTCTTCCAGCTGATCTACCTTTCACTGATGCCATGGATCCTAACGATCCATTGAAGGTTTTTGAAGAATAATTTATCAATTTCTTCATCGTTTGTAACTCATATGTATTCACTCATATTGTATTTACATTCTAATGTTGACATTATTCATGTTGTTTGTTGTTCTTGGATATGTTTGCATACCAGGTATTCGATCAAATGCCTACAACAGATTTTAAAATGTTTCGTGTCATTTAAAGTGATTCACAAAAACCCGGATTCACAACGTGCTTCATATCATTGACCTAAATTCGACCCATTCAACCTTTTCTTAATTTCTGCTACGATTTAGTATTCACAAAAACCCGGATTCATAACTTTTGTCCAAATTTTAATTTCTGCTACGATTTAGTACATTTTTTTTTTCTATTACTCAATTTTTTATTTTATAATTTTGTATCTATATGTTTTTAAAATTTAGTTTTTTTTTCTTTACAACTATGTTTTATATGTTTTCAAAATTTTAAAACTTTTTTATATCTATGTTTTTTACAAAATCGTTTTATAGCTTTGTATTGATATGTTTTTTTATTTGTTTTATATATTCTTTTGCAACCTTTGTTTTTTGTGAATCTTTTTTACAAAGTTTTGGTATATTTGTTTTTCTGCTGGTTTTCTAAGATTTTTTCAATTTTTTTTTTTATAATTTTGTTTTCTAACTTCTATTAAATATTTGTTTTATCCATTTTTTTTCGATTTTTGCCTAATTTTTTTTATAAGTTTGTATTATTTTTTGTAACATTGTATTCATTCATTTTGTTTTCTAATTTCACCCAATTTTTGTTGTAACTTTGTATTCATGTGTTTTCAACTTTTTTTTTGTATTCATGTGTTTTCAACTTTTTTTTTTCTTTAAAACTCTTTCTCTATATGCTTGTTTTGATATTTTTACAACTTCTTTTCTATCTTTTTCACAACCTTCGTTTTTAATGAAATTTTTTTCATAACTTTTTATTCATATGTTTTGTATTACAACTTTGTTTTTATATGTTTTGATATTTTAATAATTTATTATATCTTTTTTACAACCTTTGTTTTTAAGAAATGATTCTTATAAATGTTTTTTCTGCATATTCGTTTTTATGTCGGTTTTCTAAGATTTTTTCGTTTTAGATTTCTTTTTATAAATCCATTAACTAATTTCTTTTACATATTCATTTTTATTCATATATAACTTTTTATTCATATGTTTTTTTATTACAACTTTGTTTTTATATGTTTTGATATTTTAATAATTTATTATATCTTTTCTACAACCTTTGTTTTTACGAAATGGTTCTTATAAATGTTTTTTTTTTTTTTTTTTTTTCCATATTCGTTTTTATGTCTAGTTTTAGTAACACACTTCTAAATAACTTTTTCAAAAAATTGCCTAATACATATAATTAAAAGTCGATCATAAATTCATAACACCATAGTCACATCCGCCGGCGTTGCGGTTGGGCGAACGACGGATGACGGTTTCAGGCCTTGGGCGCGAAGAAGGCTGTGCGGTGGGTTGGGAGTCGTTGGCTAAAACCGAGAAGCAGAGGGCGGACTGAAGTGTCGCCGGTGAAAAAAATGGAAGACATGGTCGCTTAGTTGATCTACCTTTTAACCTTCCAAACGATAATGCATTAGGTATGTTTATAAATCTTGCTATACAATTATTTTAGCTTCAGAATAGTTATGCATTCCCAATTAACACTCCTATTTTGCTAGATTTTATGACGAATTTGACATATATTTGCTTTTGCGACAATGAATGACTATTGATAGTGATAAGATGATAATTCGAAATTTAGTTTAGTTTAGTTTACTCCCTATCTTGTTTGGAAGTTCAATTTGTTCAAGCAGTATGCATACATGAATGCAAAGAACACTGCATAACTAACTAAAACCAAAGCCATTAGTCCTAGATATTCATCTTCATATCCAAAATGGCTTTGCACATACTCTTTGATTGTGGGATCTTGTGACATTCCCGCCACTTTAATGGTGTCCTCCACATCACCATATTGTGAAGCAATCAATCCTTGAAAGGTCCATGCTAGTGGGCAAATCCAATAACACCATACCCACCACTTTTGGAATTTTCTGAAAATTTCAACAAGTGGAAATTAAATCATAATGAAACTTTCATAGTTAAGAAAAAAAAATTATAAATTGGCTAAATAAAATTAAATAAAATTACCGGTCTAGGGATGAAGAAGCCCGAGAAGAGATTAAAGAGTGAATAGAAAGCAGATGTGAGGATGGATGCGAGTTGATCATTAGGAGTGAGTGAAACAGTCATTAGCCCGAGGTATGTGAAGTAGAGAAAGGTAAAAAAGTGTATGAAGAAGAACCATAAGTATTTAGCTATTGTCCATTCGAAGCTCACCATAGCATACACAATAACAGTATAATATGCCGTCTGAAAGAACACGTAAGGTATTTCCACAATTACCTATATACAAAACAAACAATACTTTCTCATTAGGCTTTTGGAATTAAACTGCATCTACAAAAGGGTTGTAGCAATCCATGAGTTGGCCTTGGCCCACACTGTCCGTCCCCAAGGGCATCATGTGAGATGTAAATTAGGTATACAGTGGCCTGCTATGTGGCTGGCATAGAAGTGACCTTGTGGGAATTAGGCCGTTGGGTACTTGGTTTACATCTTACATGATGCTTTTGGGGTTGGACGGTGTAGACCAACTCATGGGTTGTTGGAAGAATAACTATTCTACAAAAAGTTATTCTTCCAACAACCTCTGAGTTAGGGTAGGACAGTATAGACCAACTCAGGGGTTGTTGGAAGAATAACTATTCTGCAAAAGAGTTATTCTTCCAACAACCCCTGAGTTGGGACGGGATAGTGTAGACCAACTCAGGGGTTGTTGGAAAAATAACTAGTCCGCAAAAGAGTTATTCTTCCAACAATTCCTAAGTTGGGGCGGGACAAAAAACCAACTCAGGGGTTGTTGGAAGAATAACTCTTTTGTAAAAACAAAAACATGTGTTTGTCTGTTTTGCATGAATCTGTTTTGCACTAACCTGTGCCATGGCATACGGTAAGGATGAATACATCCCAGCAGCTCTTTCTCGATAAAATATTGTTCGTTCAAAGGCTACTATCGGCAGTACTGTGTTTCCATTGTTAATTCCCGCAAACAAAACAGCACCATACAGACCCCCAAAAATCATTGTCAGGTCAGTGCTGCTATCCCTGAAATAAAAAATGACATTGATTTTATTGTTAGCTCTATTCCCTGAGCTAGAGTCGGAATCAAGATTCTAGGGGTGTGTTTGTTACACAAGACATGACTGGAATCTGTTCGACAAGCTTTCTAGGGCTATTTTCGATTAGGGATGAGATTTAGAACCGGAAAACCGGACCGGAACCGGAACCGGAACCGTTAGAACCGGAATATATAGAACCGGTTCCGGTTCCGGGTTTAAAAATTGGCTTTATTTCGGGTTCCGGGTAATCCGGGTTTGGGTCCATCGGGTCCGGGTAAACCGGGTCTAAAAACCGGAACCGTTGTTTGGAACCGGAACCACTTTTAGGGCCGGAACCGGTTTTTATGAAACGTTTAAAAGATGCATATCTCATTCGTTTCAACTCCGATTGACATGAGGTTTTTTCCAACATGTAGTTTAGAGTTTGTACATGATTTTAGACTATAAATTTTCCATTTTTAGTTTTATATTCATTGACTTACAGTCCCCCAAAGTCGAGATATCAAAGCTGGAAGTTTTTAGTTTTTCATTTTTTTTGTATTCGGTGAAAGTTTTAAAACATGCATATCTAATTCGTTTGAAGTCATATTGACATGTGGTTTTTTTGAACTTGTAGTTTACAGTTTGTACATGAGTTTAGACTATAATTTTGTCATTTTTGGTTTAACATTCAATGATTTATAGTCCTCCGAAGTCGGGATATCAAAATTGAAAATTTTCAACTTTTCAGCTATTTGTTTTTATACTTTGTATTATGTGAAAATGTTAACACATGCATATCTCATTCGTTTAAAGTCAGATTGACATGCAATTTTTTCCAGAATGTATTTTAGAGTTTGTACATGATTTTAGACTATAATTTTGTTAATTTTGGTTTCATATTCAATGAGTTACAGTCCCCCAAAGTCGGGATATCAATATGAAAATTTTCAAAGTTCAACCCACTAAGTAGTAAGTAATTACCAAAAAATTCCGGTTTTTCCGGGTTTTCCGGTTCTAAACCCACTTTATCCGGTTCCAACCTACCCACTTTGATGTTTCCGGGTTTTCCGGTTCTAGACCCACTTTACCCGGAACCGTACTCGGAACCGAACCGGAACCGGTTCCTATATACCGGTCCGGTTTCCGGTTCTACAAAATCCCGTTAACCGGTTCCGGGTTTTCCGGGTCCGGGTCCATCCGGTCCGGGTTTGGACCCACTTTCATCCCTATTTTCGATAATAAAGATGAGGAGGACATTTACGTCTTTTAACACCGGTCTTGAGATGTGATCTAGATCAAGTACTAGATACTAACCTTTTGGTACCAACTTTCCAAAAAATTGACCCGATCAAGAGTGCAGTGATAAGGGTGAAGCAGAATCTAACAAGGTTATAATCAGGGGTTCTCCAATAACTCCTCCATTGTTTTTCTATACAAGTCTTGAATTGTCCCCACATGGACTCAGAATATTTTGTGGAGAAAAAAAGTTCTTTTGCTCCTGAAGGAGGTATTCTTAATTCTTCCACAAGAACATTATTTCTTCTGCTTGAGGTGAATTAAATTAGCTTCAAATTTGAATAAATATAATATTCTGATTATATAAATGTTATAATTTAACTTACTGATAAACGCTTGATGACTTGTAGTGCTGTACGAAATCAATCCCGAGTCGTGATTCTGTTGCAGATGAGGTGACTTCCAACATCCATGTTGCTGGATTTTGATCATCTACTATTTTTGGTATCCCGGGAATTCCCTAGAATTTATATTAATAAAAGTACTCGAGTTAGTTTTAGTTTAGTATATTTTCACATGGATGTACATAACTACACACGTTTACATCATGTAATGTAGAATAGGTTAAAACATGTTGTAAGTGACTTGTGAGCATAGAGTCACTTATAGACACAGAAAGGGTAAAATGGTCATTTACATTCATTCAGAAGTCTTCGGTTAAGAAAAGAAACAAACAATCTTTGTTCATACAAACACACATCATTTATCCCTTGAACAATTTATCCAAACGACAATAAATGGGGAAAAAAACAAACATACCCTATGGAATAATACTCTCCCTAGTTCTTTAATATTACGTTCAATATATATTTGAGTATAACAATTTTTTTTTTATTTTATTATGACATCCTAAATCAATTTCTTTCTATTACAATATTGTAGTTGTAAATTTTATTAGAGCAATGCGTTTTGAAAAATCTACCTATTTATAGCAATGTACATACAGTTTTTTATTTTTTATTTATTTATAAGACATTAATCTTTCAAAAATCAACCTAGTTACATCGATGAAAATTGCTTCGTATTTGACAACATTACTATAATTAGGTATATTTTTCAAAGTAAATGTTGTAATAGGAAGAAATGAAAGTACGATGATGTATGAAACACATAAATAGAAAGGATGCTCTTAATTCTTTCATCTAATCCAAAAATAAGTGAGGGCAATTTGTAAAAATTTAGGAATTAACGGGGAATGCTTCACTAACTTTCTCCACCAAGTCGTTCTTTCTGTATTCAGTAAAAAGAAACATTCATATATAGCTTAACAGATTAAGTCATGTCCCCATTAAATCCATTAAGTAAAAGAGAAACTATACCTCAAGATACTCAACAAGTTTCTCAGATTTTAGACCCAACTCTCCCGCATAAATTACTTCTCCTCCAGTTTTCATCAGTAACAACTCATCAAAAGCTTCAAAAATATCAACACCAGGCTGATGAATAGTACAGACAACGGTTCTTCCCGTGTTCACTGTATTTCTCACTGTTCTCATAACAATTGCTGCTGCTCTTGCATCGAGCCCAGTTGTTGGTTCATCCATAAATATGATTGAAGGATTAGCAACAAGCTCTACTGCAATTGTCAATCTTTTTCTTTGTTGGGTTGATAAACCTGTAACTCCAGGAATCCCTACAATCATGTCCTTAAGATTGTCTAGTTCAACGAGTTCCATCACTTCATCCACAAAAAGCTGATCATAAAATTATATAAAAAGAAAAAAGAGTATTAGTACTTTAAAGCTACGTCTTTCCATATATGGGTAATATCACTAAATACCAACCACGTTTCTTAATGTTTCACCTAGCTACCTCAAATTTTTTTCGTCGAAATGTGTAACCACTCATCTTTCAATTTTGTTACATTGTGAGATTTTTTTTTTTTTTTGTTCATTCATTTGAATATTTACTATTTGTTGATACATATGACACGACGAGTTTATTCACACATTTTTTGTTAACTGGTAACCAAGTTTTGGTTTGTTCCTATGTTTTCATATTTTGACAATTTGAATGAATTATAATATTTTCCAGAAGGAAAAAGGAATTTTTTTGGGGGGAAATGATATACTATTTATTTACATAGGATGATCACATTAGCGCAAATCCATAATATTTACTTTGATTCTGTCTTGGAAAATATTGTGATTTTTAAAATCTTTTCTTTTGTTAAAAAAATTTAGTGTAGGTAACTCTCATACGTCCTTGTCAGTGTCACATCAATAGAAAGTACAAAATTTTATAACAAGTCACTGCATAATAAAAAGGACATTGTATTATTTTGTGTTGTAAAAAGAATAAAGAAAAATAAAAAAACGTTCTTGTAGTTGATCCCCTAATAATATTAGATATAATAAAAAGTGCTTGTTCTTTACCATTTTTTCTTCTTTATTGATATCTTTGGGGAGTCTAAGGAAAGCCGAAAAAATCAAAGATTCATAGACAGTGACTTGTGGTGAATGAATGTCATTTTGTTCACAATATCCCGAAATCCTAGTGAAAGTTTCTTGAACTTTAGGGAATCCCGAGATTCTGATATCACCTTCTATGTATCCACCTGTCTTTCTTCCTGCTAAGACATCCATTAAAGTTGTCTTTCCTGCTCCACTAACTCCCATTAATGCTGTTAGGATTCCAGGCCGAAAGGCCCCACATACTTCCCTAAGTAATTGGAGCTTGTTGTCTGTAACACCTTGTTCTTTCATCGCCTAATAAAAAATTTAATTGTATATATTACAATATATAAAATTATATATTACAACTATGTAATGAAATAAAGAAACATAAAAAAATTAATATGTACGTAATTTTATTCGTAGATTAACAAAGCAAATGAATGAAATGGAATTTTACTACATTTTTAGTCAACGAAAAACGTTACGTGTGAATTTCATTAAATAACTGAAGTCTGAATATATGAAAAATATTTACTTACGAGGGGCATATCCACATAATAACTTATGTTATCAAAAGACATGGAAAGTGGAGCAAATGGAAGAACCATTCCTCTTTTGGGAGCCATAGCATCTGCCGCTTCAAGACTTGAATCTTCATTTATATTTTGGTTTTTCTGAATCACCGATTCTCCTAAGAAAATCACCAATTTAAAAGAAATCACAGTGAACAAAGCTTTTGTTTCATATAGAGCAACATACATTATTCTTGTTATCAATATGGGAATATACTTTAATTTGTACTTTTAGTCTTATATTCTTTACTAATATTAGCAACATACTTACATTTTTACCAATAAAAGCAATGTGCTATACTTTTTACCCTTATTATTAATGTACTTACAAAATTTACCCATAATAGCAACGTATCTACATTTTAACCTATAACAACTATGTACTTTATTTTTTCCCATTATCAACTTACTTATATTTCGCGACCAATATGGACAATGTACTTTATTAATTTGTTACATATCGCTAATATCGGGGAAAAAATTTTGTAATTACGTTGTTATAATGGAAAATGAAATGTAAGTATGTTGCTATTATGTAGTAAGGAATGTAAGTATGTTGTTATCAAGGGTAAAAATAAATATATATAATTTTCCCATTTGTATATGAATTATCCCTTACTTGAGGTCTTTGCAACCGAAACCGATGTAGATATTTTCTCTTCTTGAAGTATATTTGCTTGTGGCTTTCCGGGAGCTAATATTGCAAAATAAAAACGATAAAAATATGTTAAATGCAACATGTGGCTCGATGTTATCTTGGTCTAAAAGATCATGTAGAACTTACGAGGTAAATACACGAGAGCTAAAGTGTAGAGAATGTTGAAAAGGATAGCTAAACCGAGAAGGGCAACTGCTCCTATCCAAAACCAGTTTTGATTAGGGTTTACTCCAAAGTTTTGTAAAACCACTACCCCCAATTTTGTAGAATTGTCAGAGCCCTGAATTCAATTAAATAGTTAGTTTAATTTTGATTGAGGAAATTAAGGCTCCGTTTGTTACATGAGATATGAATGGATTGGACTGGACAAACTTTCTAGGGATATTTTTATTGATGAGGATGAGAAGGGTATTTATGTCTTTTATATAGACAAAAGATGGAAAACAAGTACGTGTCCCACCTTGTTTAGAGGGACAAAAAGTAGCAATTTGTCTATGGGAGGGAATATATGTCTTTTGCACACATGAGATTTTTATTCCACCTCTTTAGTGGTAGCAAAAAAAATGTAATTATTGTCCATTAGGAGGGCATTCATGTCTTTTACATTGACGAGAACCTTTTCCCACCTTCTTTAGTGGGGTAAATATGTATATCCATGAGGAATGCATTCACGTCTTTTGCATGCAAGAGACTTTGAGAGGGAGTGTTTTCCCATCTTGTTACGTATTTTTAATGGAAGCATAAAAATTGTAATTCCTTTTCCATTAGAAGGGCATTCACATTTTTTGCACTCACGAGAGATCGAGAGTGAGTGCCCTATCTTTTCTAGTGGAACAAAAAGTTATAACTATTGTCTATGAGGAGGGCTTTCACATCTTTCTGTGTGATAAAAAAATTATACTTCATGCCATTAACATGAGTCTGAGCCTAGTTCAATGCAGACCAAACACAGTACAACTAGTATGTGGTGTGTAACAAATGGGCCCAAAAGATGAAATGTAAAAGTGACATACCAATTTATTCATCCACCTTGGAGAAAACATTTCATTTGTAGTTAAAGCATTAAAACCGTAGCTTAATGGTGAAACCCAATACGCCCATTGCCACCAGTCGGGAATTCGACCTGTTTACATAAGAAATCATGTTGTGAAAACTCCATTATTTTTAAGTTGTAGTAGATACTCATATATCAAAAATTAACTTTACTGAAGTACTAAAGCTATTGTTTATATTTTAAGGGTTATTAAAGCATCATGTGAGATGTTAAAAAGGTACTACTAACTAACCTTTAGGAAGGACAATACCACCTAAAAGGAAAGTTGCTTCTAGAATGAGAGTTCCAGCAGTGTTGGCTATGGTCATTGTTCTACAAACTGCAGCAATGAGTCTGAATATTCCTGAAGCCATTTGCTGAATCAAAAAGGTCAACAGGAAGTGCTTGAAAAACCTGAAAATGAGACAAGTTTTCTGTTAAGTCTACCTTTTTTTGTTTCCGATTGGAAATAAAAACATATTTATTGATAACTAATAACGAAAATCAAAATACTAAATCCGTATGCTTTCGATAAGTATCCATATCTCTAAAATATGGATGATTCAGTTAATAATATGATTGTATTTATACTTAATTTTCTTTGTGAACCAAAGCTTATTAAATATGGAAGGGACTAAATGCAAGAAATAACAGCATACTATCTTTTATTTGTGTATTATATATCATCCTACTTTCATTTTTTTTCTGTTACAACATTGTACTTTTATTTTTTTGCTAAATAAGTCATTGTACTTTGAAAAATCTACCAATCATTGCATTGTAGTTTTAGATTTGTTCTTAATAGGATTATTATACTTTGACAAATCTATCGGGTAGGTTTTTTCAATGTATAATATTGTAATAGGATGAAATTAAAGTTGGGTGCTATAATCAACAAACCAATGAAATTTCATTGCTATTTCATGCATATAATCAGTATGGAAAAATGTGTTTAACTATTAAACCTTGAAAGGTTATCATATAATGTTCAGTTAGGGTCCCTAACACACAACACCATGGTTGTGTTTGACGTATGCTCTTTTCTGTAATTCAAGAAAATATAACCCTATTTTTTTTTTTTCTTTTTATGTTTATCCCATTAAGCGAGTTTTGAATAGATGATGTTTAACAAAATATATGAGTAAATGGTACACTTAGGAAATGGAAAGAAAAAAAATAAATGAGGTTTTTCTTTTTATAAAAGTTAGTCCTCCTCTCTATGACTCTATTTACTATTTAGTCGGGTTTTTTTTTTTTTGGCTTTACGTAAAAAAAAAAACACTCATATACAACTTACTACACTAAGTCCATTATGTAAAAAAAGAAACAACACGCACATACCTACTAGCTTCAGGGGCAAATCCAATGGTATAATACGTCAATATTGTCCAAACTGTAGACTCCACCAATGAGATTGGCACACGTAGCAAGATAGTTGGAACTGTAAACGCCCAAGTTGGATGAAAAAAGAGCTCTCTATGCTTATATAACACCGGAAGTCTCTCTATAGTGAGTGGAAGCTCAGGAAAACCATTAAACATATTAGTAATCAATGCAAACAAAAGAGCTCCTACATAAAGGGCTCCATCTTCTTCATTTCTAGAATGCATTCTAGTCCTCAAGAACATTGTTGCTCCAATAATTGCCACAAAGCTAATTTGGAGAGTCTTGGCTATATACACGACTGCAGTTCTTTTAATCAATAACTTTTCTTTGTCGAAAGAGGCCTTAAAGAGGTCCTTTTTAGGGACTAAGTACTTTTTGAAGACTAGAGCTCCTTTTTGATTCCGGGATTTTTCATATGGCATGAGTAGATCGTTTTGGAGCGTTTGTCCAACATGAAATTGCTTGAAATGCTCGGTGAATTGAGAGACTGAAACGTAGGTATATGGTTTCCCTTTATTGGCCCAATATTGTTCTTGATCCTTCTTAGATATTACCTACAAATAGCACAAATTTTAAATCTAGATTTTGTATTTGTACCAAGATATGATATGTAATACACACGCCCAAGTTATATTCAACATTTAAATAGATGTCATACTTTTTTAACTAGACCAATATTAATTATTATTAATATTTGTTCTTTTTTTTTTTTTTGTTTTGTTTTGTTTTTTTAACTTGTTCAAGATATAAAACATTAAAACGATTTTTTTCTTGTTTTAAAACATTAAAAACGATTTTTTTTTGTTCTATGTTCATTAGGAAAATATAGGATAAAAAAGAAAGGGTTATATTTGCTTAATTTGCTTAATTTCATTGATTGGTTTATTATAGTATTCTACTTCAGTTTGTTGTTAATATAACATTGTATTCTGAATAACCTACCCAATTATAGCAGTATCCTTCAAATACAAAACGATTATCTTTGCATACTTTGGTAGATTTTTCCAAACTACACCGGAAATATTGAAAGCACAATATCATAATTAGATAGATTTTTCAAAGTGCGTTGCCTTATTTAAAATAAAATGAAAGCGTAATGCTGTAATAAAAGGGAATAAAAGTAGGAAGCCAAAATAAACTAATAAATAAAAGTATATGGGTATTTTTTGTATTTAGCTCAATAAATAAAAGTGCGTCATATTTATATACTTTTCGAAGGTTATCGGTAGTGGAGCTAATTTACAAAGGGTAGAGCTTTATGTATTGTTGACATGGTACAATGTGACGGTTTCTAGACTTGCATTTCCAGTGTTGTGCCTAGCAATAACAATGTACCTTCGTTTAATGGAATAGATGGTTACCTCTTGTAAGAAATCGGCAATTCCCTTTCTTTCTGGACATGTGAATCCTAAGCTTTGAAAAAACTCGACAATATGCTCTCTTGGGCCTTGATATACAATTTGGCCTTGTGATAAGAGAATTATATCATCAAATAGATTAAAAGTCTCAGGAGAAGGTTGTAGGAGAGACATCAAAATGGTGGATTCTGTAAAATGTGCTATCTGTTGCAAACACTTGACTATCTGAAATGTCGTTGATGTGTCTAGGCCCGATGAAATTTCATCCATAAATAGTACTTTTGTTGGCCCAACAATCATCTCTCCTGTTTTTAATCAAATGTTAGGCCTGGCCAACCCGTTGTTGTTTCTGTATTTGTTTTGTGTGCTTATATTCATACTACAATTCAATAACATAACTTAAACATACTAAAATCAGTAACATAATTTTTAAGATACTAAAATTAGTTTTGCACCATTTTAAATATATTTTTTTGTGTGTAAAAACAATGTTTTTTGTGTGTTATAGTGCTACGATGACATTGTTATACTGCTACATTGACATAAATGGCTTATTGTCAACAACAATGTGCTTATTACTCCTTTTTGGCTCTTAAACTTAATAGCAGACTTCAAAAACAAAATTTTAACGATACTAAAAGTTGGTTTTCACTACTTTAAGTCTCTTTATTGTGTGAAAACAATGTTGAATTGTGTGATAACAATGCTACAACATGAATGACTTGTTGTTAGCACTATGTAACTGTCGTTTTAATGTATAATATTAATTTTTTTCTACCTATATTCATAGTACACTTCCAACTAGTATAATTGTAATTTGTAAGGATATTAAAACTAGTGTTGCATTATTTTAAGTTTGTTTGGTGTGTAAAAACGTTGTTTAATTACGTGAAAACAGTCTTATAATAACATGAACGACTTGATATCAACAATAGTGTATTAAAAATACATTCTTATACAATCTTATTTTTAAATCAATGAAACATATTCTTTTTATACATTTGTAATTGGTTATTTTTGTTTAAGTATTTATAGGTCCAACAAGTTATTCATGTGTTATATTTATGTTACTGGGTTAAAGGAGATTATTGGGCTATAACTTTCATGGGTTTTCATTGAATTGGGCTAATGGGGAGTAGAATTGGGAATTCATTTCAATTGTCTACTAAAGTAGACGGGGTGAAAAGTGTCAAGATGGTTACTTTTGTTTAAATGTTCTGCATCTGTTTCTTTTAGTGATGTGTTAGTTGTTGATTTATCTATAAACGTTTTATCAACCTTAAATCTATTTGGTTTTACTCTAAAACCTTTTCTTATTTATATTTTGAAATAAAAGTATTTTTCAATTCGGTAACCATCGTTTTAGTATCTGTTAGAATCAATTTTTTCTGCTCCTTCACAATTCATGGTAAAGATCACTAATTTAATGTTAAAGATATTACAATTAGTTTTTCACTTTTAAAAAAATGATTTCTTGGATCTTAAATCAGATAAACAGTGCAACCATTTGCTTAATCAATCAAGTGATATTACCCGTTGTTAGTCGTTTTTTCTGTCCTCCGGATATTCCTCGTATCATTTGGTTTCCAACAACAGTGTCCCGACATATCTCTAGTCCGAGTATCTATTTTTTAAAAATCAAAATAAAACACATAATCTAGGTTCAATAAAAAAGATATATCTTGTGGCATAATGGTTTTAGAAGCAAATAATATATTAGGCCTTGGTTTCCTTTTCTTATATATATATATATATATATAGATATATATATATATATATATATATATATATCTATATATATATATATATATATATATATATATATATATATATATATATATATATATATATATATATATAGTCAATAAAATGATGGTACAGGTTGTGCAAATCTAATGAAGAAATAAATGAGAGAAAATTTGTAAAAATGTAGGTTTTTATTATGAAATTCTTATTTTCTTGATTTTCTCTATTAAGTCATTTTTTCTACATTTAGTGAAAAATAAACATTAATTTATAGTTACTTGATTAAGTTTTGTTATAGTCAATTCGATTAAGTAAAAATGAAACAAACACCTAAGTTTTTTTATTATCTAATTTCTACGCTAAAAGTTTTCCCGAACATACCTTGATAATGTATTCAGTAATTAGATTATGCTCAACACCTTCCATTGCGGTGGCCTAAATTACGAACGATCATTAGGTCATAAATTATGAAATAGCGTTATACTATGAACTTTATAAATGTCGATTTTATGATCTCTAGCTGCTATCTTCATGAAGAGGTCAACCTCTGGTTTTGGAGAAACGTTAGCCTGTTTTTCTCCCATGTCAAGCTCGCTCAGTAATTCTGCAAAATATATATTATTATCAACGAGTTCTCCACACGTTCTAGGACTAAATGCAAGAAATAGCAATACATTTTCTTTTATTTATGCATTATAGCATCTTATTTTTGTTTCTTTCTATTTCACCATTGTAGATTAATTTATTAACACTGTTTTATTTATTTATATTAATATAAATTATAATTTACAAGTAACCATTTCCTACTACTTATTTAGTTATCTATAATAAAAAATCATAAGTTTATTTTAGATTCAAACTTTAAAATATAACTTGTTAATATTATATTTATACATTATTTTGTAAATGTCCTTACTCTTGAAAAACAAATTGTGAAAATCGATCCAACCGAATTATAATTTGGTTGGTTCGAATCATATTTTATTTAATTCGAACTATATTAGATCACTATTTTGAAAAATGAAATGAATTTTGATTCATTTAATCAGATCAAATCGAACTGATCCATACAAATAAAAACCCTAAACAAATCAATAGAAGTACAATGCTACATATTGCACAAACACCAAAGTTGTGTAAATGAAATAAATAACAACATACTTTCATTTATTTGTGTTCTATAGCATCTTACTTTCATTTATTTCTATATCTTATTAAGGTGATGTACTTTGAACATTTTGTCCAATTATAACATTTCACACATCCAAAAATTTTCTTTTCAAGACGTTATCCTTTGATAAATCCACCCAACTATAGCGGTGAAAATTGCTTTGTGTATACATGTTATTGCAATAATAGGTAGAATTTTCAAGGCACTAGAAAATAAAACTAGATGTTATAATTTACAAATTGATAGAAGTACGATACTATTGTTCTCACGTTTACCCAAAAGTTAGCCTAAATACAAAAAATAAAAACCTACTTCCAAGTTTTGTACATTATGGCGTTCTACTTTCATTTTTTAGAACATTGTAGTTTTGTTTTTTTTATTAAAAAATTTACTATGAAAATTTTATCCATTTTTAGCATTTTAATTTAATTTAATTTATTATTAGAAAATTATATTTTGAAAATTCTATCCATTTATAATAGCGAACATTGCATTCTTTAGATGATATTACTATAATTTGGTAGAAATTTTAAAATACAATGCTTTAATATAAGAAATGAAAGTAGAGTGCTATAATAAACAAATCAATAAGGTACATTATTATTTCTTTTATTTAGCTCTTTTGAAACCGTTAAATACCATATCGAGATCCAACTCCTTGGCACCGAGCTGAAAAATCTAGTGTTTCTTTTACTGTCATTTCGCCTACATGAACATCAATTTGGCTGATGTATGAAGATGTCCTTTGTGGGACGAATTCTTTAAGTGTATGCCCGTTATATGTCACGTTTCCTTCAACCTGCTCAACATGTATATTTACCAAAAAATATTATTGAAGTAAAAGATTGTATTTGTTCCAAATAATTTATGAAGATTTCCATGAAGTTATTTCTCAAAAGCTCACCGTTAAACCTGGGTTGGCCCGACCTGCCAAAGCCAACAATAGAGTCGTTTTTCCGGAGGAGGGCGGACCTAGTAGAAGAGTCATCCTTTTATAAAACAAAATTAAGTTTTTTTGTTAGCTTCTATTTTATTTTAATGTTGAACAACAAAAATCGATAAAACATAAAAGTATTAGAGATCTTTGTAGGTCTATGTTTTTGAAGACATTTTATGTCTTTTCACAAAAAAGTGATCGGGGCAAATATCAGTGCTACCTTTTTTGCATGGGATATTTTAGTTTAGTGCAAATGCAAAACTTGTTATGTGTTGTCTTGTGCTCAAATGGGCCTTGTTGTAATTGTGTCAAAAGTGAAAAACCACATAACAAAAGATCCAACAGTGTTGGATGCATGGGAAAAAGGGCTTTGCCATTTTGGATCGATAAATTCCATCATTTGGGGTCGTTGACTTTCTATATATCTACAAGACCTTTTAAAAGTAAATAACGTAATATTGACTATACTTGTATCAAGCTTTATCTAAGGTAGGAAATTTGAGTGTCTTGGGCATAATTTAAAATGTTTGCTCGAATCTTCCAAAAGAGTGTTTGTATGCGTAAATGTTTCGAGCAAGATTAAAGGTGGCTTTTATAGCATGAATGAAGAACATACCTTGAAGGCTTGATCATCCCAGAAACATCATCAAGAATTGTAATCTTTCCCCTCTTTGATAATCCAATACCAAGAAAACCAAAAACCGTGTCTGCAAGGTTGCGTAGAGTGTTTGTCAAAGTCGGTATAGATCGGTTACCAACAAAGCAATTAGCTTTCATTGTTAAATTCTTGAAACGGACTTCTACTGTTGGAAGAGTAATGCCAACCCTGTAACAACACCATATAGAATAAAAAGATTAATTTATTTAAAAACGTTGCAACGACTATCAAAGCCACGTTTGTTATGTATGTGATAACTACACTAATACAAAATAACATCACAAAACCAATACAAGGTTTGGTGTGTAATGGATCAACGCTAGGACTGGGGATGAAGGATGTAACTTTTAATGACACAAGGGACGGTCCGAGTTAATGTTTGAAAATAAAGATTGAACATATAAATCTGATATCGGTTTCGAGATTCTCAGGTAAGGTCGGATTTATGGGTGGTATGCGGCAGAACGGACTGGAATTAGATGGTGGAGTGTTTCACGATCTCGCCAAATCCACCTATGACCTACTAAAGCAACAACGACGATGGTTGAAGACGTCAAGGACAGACCAAAAAGAGGGTAGGGTGAGATTGAGGGAGACAAATCCGGTGGGGAAAGGAAAGTGGAGGGGTAGGGGTTAGGCGTTTATTTTATTTTATTTTTTTAATCTGAAAATGATAAACAAAGTAAAATAAAAATGAAAAAGTAATTATTACGGGAAAAATAATCATTTTGTGTCCACAAGAAAGCCCCGAGTGAAAAATATAGGAACGGTTCGAGTTAATTTTTGAAAATAGGAACTGAACATGATTTTTGACACCGAATGATTCATGTAATTTACTCTAAATAAAAATATTTAATATTTCTATCACGTTAGCATTTAAAAGAAAAATTATTATCATAATCACACAATTTGTTAGAGATATACATTAATATTAGTTACCTCTTCCAACAAATAAATTTGTACATAATATATGTTAATGGCATATAATAAAATTTTAGAGGGTGTTTGGATAAGGAAAAAAGAGGGTACTTATTGTTTATTGTTCATTCCCACGACAATAAGCTAAATTTAAGTGTTTGGATATGAATCATTAAAAATCAGCTTATTGTGATAGGAATAAGCTAAATAAGTTGATTTTAATAAACATCCCTACTTGCTTATTGTTTATTGCTTATTCCCACCACAAAAGCTTTTGCAAAAACTGCTTATTCCCACCACAATAAGCTAATAAGCTATAAACTAATTTCTTAAATAATCTTATTGTAAAAAGCTAATTAAAAACTAACCTATTTTTTTAAAGTTGAAAGGTTGTATTTGAAAATTACAAAATCAGTTTGTGTACTGTGGATCCAATTTCTTAAAGGGAAAATGACTTAAAAATGTAATGAAGTTTCAAAAATATATAAAAAAGACTATTGTTTTTTTAATACACAAAATACCATTAAAATATATTTTTATACACAAAATACCATCAAAATATATTTTTTATACACAAAATACCAACGAAGTACCTGGTTACCACAATGTTTTAGTTGAACACATGTGTACTTCGTTGGTATTCTGTGTACATATAGTAACATTAATGGTATTTTTTGTACTAAAAAAACAACAATGGTATTTTTTGAACATTTGGAAACCGGATAACCTACAATAGCCGGTAAAATGGTATTTTGTGTATTAAAAAAAATAATGCTCTTTTTTGAAACTTCGTTACATTTTTAAGTCATTTTCCGTTTCTTAAATAATCTTATTGATACAAACTAATTAAAAATAACCTATTTTTTTAAAGGTTTTTTTTTCTTTTCCTTTTTTGTAAACAATTGTAATTTTGCAAAAAAAAAAAAAAAAATGAATTGACCAAGGTTCTAAAAAGATCTTAAAGCTCTATCATTGCATTTTATTACTCCAATGCTTGTACTTGATGTCACGTTTTAACAAAATGACGCCTTAAGTTATATATATATATATATATATATATATATATATATATATATATATATATATATATCGCCTTAAATCATATTTTACAAATGGCGTGACTTGTCACGACTTTTAAAAGCTTGATGTTTGACATTGCCGTCAAATCATACCTAACGTTATTAGAACTAAAAGACTCATCAGAATCCTTCTCTACATGTTGTGTATACATGTCAGAAAATTTTTAGATGACATGAATTTGGCAAACACAAATTTGTTAAATACGTACACGACATGAATTGTAAATTGAGTATTGTATATCAAACACGAACACGACACGTAATTAATCCGTGTAACACGTGATACTACACGAATAGACACGTTTTTAATTGTTTTACACGAAAACGCATATAAACATGAATCTACACAAATTTAATTTGTGTCTATACTTGTCGTGTGTCATGTCCAGGGCCGGTTCAAGCCGATCTGAGGCCCGGGGCAAAATCAAAAGATGGGGCCCTTTAAAATTAAGAAATTTATAATTAAATAACTAATTCTAATATATATATATATATATATATATATATATATATATATATATATATATATATATATATATTGTTTAAAGGGTATAAGATAAATACTAACCAATACGACTACTGTGGAAAAAAAAGAAACAATAATAAACCAAAACTCAAAACCGAACATCTAAACCATTCTGAAAAACGGTTAGTTTGATCTTGCATTTAAAAGGACTAATTTTATATATAAAACCAAAAAAACACAACCAAAGAATATTATCCAAGCAACATCCTTTCGTATATAAATTTAGATGACAAATATATTATAAATTAAAATTAATATATTTTAAAGTGTTACATGAGAATTGGGAACTATGATAATGAAATTTAAATCGTATATATAAATACTAATATATGGGGGTTGAAATTAAGAAAATTATTAAATATAATAAAGGTTATCAAGTAAATAATAGAGAAAGTTTATGTATCAGATATATTTAAGCGAATCATCTGTTTTAAAGATTTAGTAAAATGGAAGTTTGAGAATTAAGGAAATATTTTCATAAAATAAATTAGAATCATAATTTTTTTGATATTTTGAAACCAAGTGGCAGGCCCAATAAAATTTGAAAGGAATAAATAAAGATTGTGTAGAAAGTAGAAACTATACGTACTAAAACTTTGAAAAGAAGGATATAACGGGAATCGAACCTGTGTTTGTTCGTAATGTACAAAAAACTAATAGCCGGCCAACCAACACAACTGAAGACATCTTTATAGATTTTTTAACACTTTTAAAATATATAAAATACCGAAAAAATTTAATTTTGGGGCCCCAACCGTGATGATGCCCTGGCCCAGCTTGCCCACCGTATTGGGCCGGGCCTGGTCATGTCTTTATAGGTGTTGCGTGTCAACATGAATTTTATTTGTGTCTATTCGTGTTTAGACATGTAAAGTAATATTTGATACCCATAAACCCAAAACACATATTTCTTAGACACCTATTCAGAAAACTCGTGTTGTGTTAATTGTGTCGTGTATAATCAAATTTCCGCGTTTAAGTAGATGGGCAACATGACAAGCTTTCAAACGATATTTTCAATGAGAAAGATAAGTACTACATTCATGTCTTTTGCACGAAAAATTAAAGAGCTACAATAAAAATTGTATGTTTTATCTCATTAATATTAGTCCATGCATGCTTAGAAAACATGGCCTAAAAGTTAATTGAAATTAGAGATGAAAGCAAAAAGGAACCTGTGGAATCTTTCTCGTAGCTCCCTCAAGAACCTGTCATTATCTACTTCCACAACCTTAAACAACTTATCGATAATCTGTTGGTGGTCATCTGCACCGAGGTCTCTTACATCAACTTGTTTGTGGACTGTATCACCTTGTTGGTTTTCAATGTCTTGTGTTGCATACGACTCCATGAAAGCAGTCCTTAAACGATCAAAAGTGGGCAGGCTCTCTAAAGCTGCCCGTTTCAGTCCGTGTTCATCTTCCTCAGCATGATTGCTCCTTCTGCTATGATCATCTGGACTCACATACAACTCTTCCATCTCCATCTCTTCTCTTATGGTTTATGACAATGAAACTGATAATTAAAGAGATCAAGTCAAATACATAGTTTTAGATTTTTGATGGAAGTCTAGTGATAACTTGTGTGATATATAGAGTATGCCGGTTTACGTACATGACGAGTGAAACTAGGCAATACATACAATAGCATAAGCCAACCTGGGTCATTTATTTAATAATATTCTTGGGTGGGGTGGCTGATAGGGAAACTTTTTATTTTTATTTTGTATATTTAACCGTGCAAATTGCGAAAAAGAATAGTAGTGTATATAAGTATATCACTGCCTATTCGATCTAGAGGTTTTGATCACGTTAGCAACGGTTTGGTTCGACTCTGATTCAATCCGGTTTAAATTAGATCTGGTTTGGTAAAAACCGATTTTAACTGGATCCGATTTACAGATCGAATCGGATCCATATCGGGGTCCAGCTTTCATGTGCATCTCAATATATATCACTCTCCTATTGATAATCAAGCAAATATATTAAAAAATTTCTATTATTGCAAAGATAGTTATATTTTTAGATTGATGATGATAATGTACTTCAACCAATAAGGAAAATCTACCTATATTCTTTTACCTATAATAATATCATACTAATATTTTTGTTACCATTATGGACGGGACTGTATTTTACTTGTTACATGTGTTATTAACTTATTATTATAGATGAAATATAAGTATATGTTGCTATTATATGGGTGGGTAAGAATTTGCTAGCCAATTGTTATAATTGTCAAAAAAAATGTATTTATGTTGTTATGAACTATATATTGTTATAATTGCCAAAGAAATGTAAGAATTTGCTATTATGGGAAAAAGAAATTAAATATATTGTTGTTATATATAAAAAAGTATATTCGATTGGTAAAAAAGTAAAGCATGATGTTTAATTGTTCATGTTTTAATTTACATTTATATATAAATTGTAATATATATGTTTATAAGAATTTGACACATATTACAAAGTCATGTTATTTTAGATGATGAGTTGAATAAACCAGACGCGACTTCGTACATTGTTTTGTTGGTTTATTTGGAGTTTGTCATTGTAACGGTCGAATAGAGTCAAAATTGCTATGCTGTAGATGATGGAGTCGTCCGGAGTAAAAGTCGCCGTTAGCGTTGTTTTTATGTGTTTCTTAATTATTTGAAGCATGTCATTGTTTCTGACGGTCGTTGGTCGGCGAACGAATCTTATTATACTGTTGGAGTTTAACATTCTGGGTGGATACTGGATACAAAATAACTATATATATAGGACTCTTAAGAATTTGTTTGGTCAATTGAAATGGACCACAATCTAATAGAATGAACATGATTATGTAATGAGTTCGTTATATTAATGATGATTTAGTTCATTTCGTAGGAATAAGTAAATTTTGTATAGAGGTTTGTATTATATGTAAATATATACCATATATACTCTTAACTCTATTCTATATTTTAATAAATTATATTCAATGATCTTACTATTTATAAAAATAAAGAAGTGAATGTTATAAAAACTTATAAGAATAAAAAAATGTATTTTCTATTTATTTTCACAAAAACAGCAAGACTATTTTATTAGAAAAATAGTTAGCGAGAATGTAGAAATACATCAAATACAAGAGACCCGATTCGGATTATTACACCAATCGTAAACGGCTATGAGTAGGATTCTTGATATAAAGAAAGTCATATAATTGCAACTCGTTGGCTAAGTCCCGACTATTTCTAACTTTGTTGTTGAATGTGCAGTCATTGCTGTACTTCCATAAAACCAACATCTCCATAATCACCACATTCTTCATGTCTGCTTGACTGCTTTATTTTTATTTTTCACATGGTATCAAGGGTGATTTCGAGTACATGATCGATGGATCGAGGGGAGTTGGGGATGTACCACCACTTGTTCATTAAGTCCATAACTTCCTTCACCATGGACTCATGGAGCAATGTTCATTTGGTTGCACAAGGACAAAGGATAGATTTCATTTGGTTTCACCATGGACTCATGGAGAAATTAAAGGTGTTTTTTATTTTCTGATAAGCATTGCACACTTTACAAAGGATAGATTTCATTTGGTTGCACAAGGAAATGAAAAAAATACACGGGATAAAGCATTTAATTTTATTCTTACAGAATGAACGATTTTAGTATTTCCCAACTTCCATCAAACCAAGCAATACATACTTTACCATATTACATATCATTTTAAATTTAATTCAGATGTCAATATATCATAACCTATTGCTATAATAGTCTCTTTCCATGCTTAACACCTTATATTTGTCATATCAAGAAGCCATGCACTAATAGACAGAAATCATGTTCGCTCTTATCGATATCGTAAACATGTTAATGTCACTTCTTGGAGATTTGGATTCCACTTCATGTCATGTTATGACAGCTTGACCTAAGACGATATCAAGGTTGCGTTTTCAAAGTCGATGTCGGAGGGTCATCTTTTATCGCACAATATCAACCTATGATATATTCTATCATTTTAAAATTAAATTTCCGTATCTAGCTCTTGTCATGAATCGATAACTAATATTTTATTTGGTTGGCATATATATATATATATATATATATATATATATATCTATATATATATATATATATATATATATATATATATATATATATATATATGTTTTGTTTGTGAAGGTATATTTAAAATTAGAATGTAAATAATGCTAGTTGTCTAAATTACCCTTAGTTCAATATTTTTAGCTTTTAGTATTATTTTGTATATGCAACAAAATTCCATTTTTCTACAAGGCTCATCATATTTTAGGTGCTGTGATTTTAAACAAACTCACATTGTGATGTGTGGATGTTAGGAAAGTAATCAGCTTTCACCTTAATCCCACCAAATCCTTCAAGTAACCGTGTTTTCAAGATTCAAGATATGTGGGCATCATAAGTCAAGTTAAACCACCAATGAAGTGCTTTCAAGAGGGTTCAAAGATCATGTCCTTTCTTTCTTTAATCTGTAATTTTTTACTTTACCTCAAAAGATAGCGAACTACTTTATTTATTTATTTATTTATTTTTGCTTAATATATCGTTCTACTTCGATTTATTTCATAAAGGGTTAAATGAGAAATTAGTAATATGCATTTTTATAGTTTTTCATTCCACTTTCATATTTCTTATTGAATCATGTTTTTTTGAAAAATCTACTAAATTATAGAAATGTTCTAAGCTATAATTGGAACATTGGATAGCTTTTTTAAAATATAGTTTCTTGGTAACAAAAATATCTAAAGTACACTGTAACACTGGGTAAAGTTTTTAAAGTATGTTGTGTAAATAAGATAATAATACAAGGAGATGAAAGTAGGATGCTATAATCTAAACTTACCATAAAAATTTTTGTGAAAGCATAATTGCAAAAAATAGCAACAGACTTTATTTATTTGGTATTTTAGCATTTTACTTCCATTTCTTCTTATCATAGCTCATAACTTTCAAAATTACGCCTGAATATATGAATGTCATCCAAATATAAAGTAATTTACACTATTGTAGTTGTGTGGATTTCTTGAAAAATGATGTTTTTATAAGAAAAAATTTAAGTGATTATCCATTTCTTGGTGTATGATGTAGGGAAAAGATTTAAAATACCTCAAGTTTTTACTAAGACATCCTACTTTGGTAATTATACTTAGGGGTGGAATTGGTACGGTACCGAGTATTTTTTTCCCAAACCGTGTACCGTACCAATTATAATTGATATGTAATTTTAGTTACCACTACTGTACCAAGTACAATTGGTACCAACTTAATTGGTTACCAGTAAGTTCGGTTGGTACATGTTGGTAATGGTATATACCAACATGTATGAGTGTTTTTGGAATTAAGATTTATGTGTTATTGTGCACTTAAAAGATAAATGTAGGTTTTGTAAATAAGAGTTTTCTGAATGGTTGGATTGGAAATTCGATACAAAAAAGATTTTATAATTTTGTACCATGAGTTTAAACTAAACAATAGAGTTAATGGGATATGTTAATATGAGTTTAAACTTTAAAACTACTAGACGGTAAATGCTAATATCAAAGCACTTGAACTCTTAACCGTCAAATACATTTAAAATTAAAATATACAATACTTTATATATATGAAAAATAACTTGGTTGGTACGGTAATACCGTGGCATTTAAAACCTTGTACCATTACCGTACCATTATTAATTAATTGGTACGGTACTACCAGCCAAACATGTTGGCTACCAAACATGTTGGCTACCAACATAATTGGTTCGGTTAGTACACATGTTGGTTGGTTTTCCATGGTACATATTTATCACCCCTAATTATACTTACTATACCATTTTGTATCAAATTTCTTTTCTTTACCCGTTCCTACCAATACCATTTCATCTGTGATTTTAGGAAAATAAGATCATTTTTTTAACACTGTCAGAAATTTCAGTGTTAAATTTTTTTATTTTTTTATTTTTTTATTATTTTTTTTTCAGGATTGGCTGAATCCATGATATCTAGTGGATGCGAATTGAGAACCTGAACACGAAATGACAGATCTTCGTCACGTCCGATATGCAAATGCTTTGGGTTTAAGCAAATATATGTTAATATTAAATATATGTCAACAAAACTATAATTATACCATTTTTCTTAACTTGGAGAGTTGGAATTTTTTTTGGTGCAAAACTGTTAGTTATATAGTATTAATATAAATTTCCAAATATATGATGGTAATCGTCGGATCATATTATAATTTTGTTAATTTGATGCCTATAATTGCTAATTATTAGAAATCTCAACCATCTTTTATAAAAATATATTGCATCTTTTAATGTATCTCTACCAATATTAATCTTTGATTTAAATTACATATATTTTTATATGTAGCAGTGAGAACAATAACAAAATATGACAAATGAAATTGCTAGATGAAAGTATGTTAATGACAACACTTGTGGATTATGTGTAACGTCCCATAAATATCGAATAAAAATTTCATTTTA